GCAAAAAATTACAAATTTTTTGAGCTATTTAAATTTTTGAAAAATTTCACCCGAGGCCTGTTAGGGTCGATTTTTTGAAAATTCAAAATTTTTCGGTTTTTTAAAATTTTCTGGGGTATATCGAGGCTGAGGGTGGTTGAATATATTTTTATAAAATTGAGCAGAATTTTTACTATATATTAAGCTTTTAAAACGTTTCAAAAGGGCTTATTTTTGGGGAGTTATGAATTTTTAAAGATTTGAGTAAATTTTGAGTCTCAAATTTTGGGTCAAAAATTAATTTTTTTCAAAATGACTGAAAATAGTGCAAATGTTATATCAATCGAAAGCTCTCATCGAGCTGAGCTTAAAAATATTTTTTGTAAAATTTTCTGACCATTTTGTACAAAGTTACAAAAGGTCGAAATTTCGGGAGTGGGGGGTTTGGGGGCCGAAGGCCCCCAAACGGGGGGCCGGAGGCCCGCCGTGCGAGGGCCGAAGGCCCGAGCTTAAGACCCATCCCAAAACGAATCGCGAGGGCCGAAGGCCCGAGCTTAAGACCCATCCCAAAACGAATCGCGAGGGCCGAAGGCCCGAGCTTAAGACCCATCCCAAAATGGATCGCGAGGGCCGAAGGCCCGAGCTAAGATCCATCTCAAAATGGGTCGCGAGGGCCGAAGGCCCGAGCTTAAGACCCATCCCGAAACGAATCGCGAGGGCCGAAGGCCCGAGCTTAAGACCCATTTCAAAACGGATTGCGAGGGCCGAAGGCCCGAGCTTAAGACCCATCCCGAAATGAATCGCGAGGGCCGAAGGCCCGAGCTTAAGACCCATTTCAAAACGAATTGCGAGGGCCGAAGGCCCGAGCTTTAGACCCATTTCAAAACGAATTGAGAGGGCCGAAGGCCCGAGCTTAAGACCAATCTCAAAACGAAACGTGAGGGCCGAAGGCCCGAGCTTAAGTCCATCCCTAAACGAAACGTGAGGGCCGAAGGCCCGAGCTTTAGACCCATTTCAAAACGAATTGCGAGGGCCGAAGGCCCGAGCTTAAGACCCATCTCAAAACGAATCGCGAGGGCCGAAGGCCCGAAGCGATGAAAAGGCAGGGCTCAACTTTACCGGCGAGGGCCGAAGGCCCGAAGCAATGAAGAGGCAGAGCAAAACTTTACCGGCGAGGGCCGAAGGCCCGAAGCAATGAAAAGGCATGGCTAATCTTTGCTGGCGAGGGCCGAAGGCCCGAAGCAATGAAAAGGCATGGCTAAACATTGCTGGCGAGGGCCGAAGGCCCGAAGCAATGAAAAGGCATGGCTAATCTTTGCTGGCGAGGGCCGAAGGCCCGAAGCAATGAAGAGGCAGAGCAAAACTTTACCGGCGAGGGCCGAAGGCCCGGAGCAATGAAAAGGCATGGCTAAACTTTGCTGGCGAGGGCCGAAGGCCCGAAGCAATGAAAAGGCAGAGCAAATGTTACCGTTTCTAGCCGCGCGCGAAGCGCGCCCCAAAGCCGTTAGGCTTTCCAACGGGCAGAACAAAATTTTACCGCCAGAGTATCCTAATAGGAATTGCATACGTAACTTACCGCCATCGCATACGTAACTACATCTAGTTATATATATATATATAATAACTTTGAGTTTCGTTTTTAAAAACTAATTCCGGCCGGCCGAAGGCCGGCCGCTTCCTGAAAGTGTGACATGCTGGGGGGTACTTTTTATGCCGCATTCAGGAAAACTATAGAGAAAATTTTTGGGGGGTCGCAAGAGTCTCAAACTGAAACTGGGTTTTCCGTATCTCGAAAATGTTCAATAGAAAGGGGGTTTGGGCCTGGGGCGAGGGCCCTGCCCCACCATATGTAGATTACGAATAAAAAAAAATTTGGTCAAAAAATTCAAAGGGGGAGGCTGTAGCCTCGTGAGACTGAAATGTCCGGCCCGTACTCAAATGGTTTTTCGACTGTAACTTTTTTTTGGAGAGGTGTATTTGGATGGGACCTGGGGGGTATTATAGAGTAATTTAATGCGCGTTTTGTGATGTTTGTTTGATGGGGGTCACTTGAGTCTGGAGGTGGGATATTTGAGTCTGATGGGGGAAAGGGCGTTCCCTGCCAGGGAACGCCCATTCGAAAGGGCGTTCCCTGGCAATCAGAAAAAGGTATAATATGTTGGGGGTCCACTTGAGTCTGGGAAAATTATAGCCAATGTGGCCAAATGTCGGAAAACTTTATGAGACTCTAACGTCCCGAGGAATTTTTTTAAAATTTTTCTGGCACCGGATTCGTACTCAGCGGGTGTTAGAGTACCATATAAGTCGTTTTTGTGGTCAAAATTCGAAAATTTTGTCCCCCATCCTATTTCCAAAGGGGTACCCCTTTTGGGGAAAATTCGCTATTTTTTGGGGGACTTTAACTTTTTTCCGGATTATCGGATTGGGATGGGGTTTGCTTTATAAAATCAAGCAAAAAATTAGGTATTTTTTGACTGAAGAAAATTTCGAAAAAATTCGAAATTGTGGGTGTAGGGGTCGAATTTCGAAAACCCGAAAATTTTGTGGTTTTTCGAAATTTTTTCGGGTTTTTTGCCGGTGGTTCGGTCCGAATTTATTTTTCCTAGATAGAGCAGATTTTTCTGCATAGAATAAGCTTTTAAAAATTTTCAAAAAGGTCCACTTTGAAAAAGTTATGATTTTTTTGAAATTTAGGGTGATTTTTTCGGCCGAAATTTTCGGCCAAAAAAATAAAATTTTAAAAATGGATATAGATGTTGCAAATGATATATCAATCGAAAGCCCTTACCGTGGGGAGTTTAAAAATAATTTTTTAAAAATTTTCTGACCATTTTGTCCAAAGTTATGGTCGGTCAAAAGTTTGAGTCTGGAGGGGTACGCTTTGCCGGTGGGGTACCAAAGGAGGAGCAATAAATCAAATATCGTCCAGTAAGGTTGTAGAGCGTCACCTGGGACACCTAAAAATATATACTTTGTTGGGGGTACACTTGAGTCTGGGAGAGTTATGAAGTTTTATAGTTTTTGAGTCTGGGGGGTAATTTAGCTGGTGGGGTACCAAAAGAGGGGGAATAAATTAAAAATACTTACGTTATATTGTAGAGCATCATAAATTCCATCTAAAAAATATAAACTTTTAACGGGGTCACTTGAGTCTGACCAAGTTATCTGACCAAGCCCCGTTAAAATTTTATATTTTTTAGATGGATTTCAGAATGGTCTACAATATAATGTAAGTCTTTTTAATTTATTCCCCCTACTTAGGTACCCCACCGGCTAAATTACCACCCAGACTCAAAAATTATAAAACGGCCTAACTCACTCAGACTCAAATGGAACCCCCAAAAAGTATATATTTTTAGGTACCCCAGGGGACGCTCTACAACATTACCGGACGATATTTGAATTATTGCCCCTCCCTTGGTACGCTACCAGCAAAAGTACCACCCCAGACTCAAATCTTCGACCTCCAATAATTTTGGCCAAAATGGTCAAAAAATTTTTTAAAAAATATTTTTACACTCGGCTCGACAAGAGCTTTCGATTGATATATAATTTGCCCCATTTAAACCCATTTTGAAAAATTTATTTTTTTGGCCGAAAATTTCGGCCGTGAAATTCACCCGAATTTTCAAAAATTTATAACTCTCACAAAGTATACCTTTTTTAAAATTTTAAAAGGCTATCCTATGCAGAAAAATCTGCTCTACATGGGAAAAATACCTTCGGCTCGAACCGCCACAAAAAACCCGAAATTTTTTCGAAAAACCGAAAAATTTTGGGTTTTTCGAAATTCGACCCCCTCGGGCCCAATTTCGAATTTTTTCGAAATTTTTTCGGCTGAAAAAATTCCTAAGTTTATACTTTATTTTTAGAAAGAAACCGCACCCCAATACGAAAATCCCAAAAAAAGTTAAGGTCACTTAAAAATTTTCGAAAATTCCCCAAAAGGGGTATTTTTTTCGACTATTCCTTTTGGAAATAGGATGGGGGACAAAATTTTCGAATTTTGACCCAAAATTCGACCTATATGGTACTCTGACACCCGCTGAGTACGAATCCGGCGTCAGAAAAATTTTAAAAAATTTCTCCGGGACGTTAGAGTCTCAAAAAGATTTACGACATTTTGCCACATTGGCTATAACTTTTTGAGACTCGAGTGGACCCCCAACATATTATACCTTTTTCTGACCGCCTGGGGACGCTCTTTCGAATGAGCTATCGAAATCGAGTTTCAATTCACTTTTGCAAAACTCGAGTCGAGTCGAAGTCACTCAAAGACTCATAACTCCCCAAGACTCAATCCCAGACTCAAGCGTCCCTTAACATAAATGTCCTAAACACTCTCCCCTACAAATAACCCAACACCCCCAAAGTCATTCCCCAGCAAGACTTTTCAGATATAAGCGTTTCCCCCCATCAGACTCAAATATCCCACCCCCAGACTCAAGTGACCCCCACCAAACAAACATCATAAAACTCGCATTAATTTACTCTATAATACCCCCCAGGTCCCATCCCGCTACGACCCTCCAAAAAAAAGTTACACTCAAAAAACCATTTGAGTACGGGTCGGATATTTTGAGTCTAACGGGGGTTTCGAACTGGCCGTTTCGGTGCTACACTAGAGTGCGGCACCAAAATGGCCTGTCCCATTAAACTCCGCATGGTCGCTTACCTACTAGCCCCAGTACTTATCCAAATCGGCCTAACCGTAATCGAGTTATTCGTTGAAATCGCTGCGAACACGCCGAAAGTCGGTCGCGGGTATGGTTGCCGACAGCTAAAACTTAGGCAATAATTAATATACATAAAGGGGACAAAAAAAATTTATTTTTGTTTCAACTGAAATATTTTTTTCCGGTGATTATCGCTGATAGGCGAATTTATTATACCGGATATTAGCCTTATGGCTCTATTTGTGATGTGAATTTTTGAGATTGTAGAGACTAAGCGTCCTCGGAGAAGGATGTGAAAATTATGCCATTCCATTACGGAATTGGCAAAATTTGCGATTCGTCGGCTTATTGGTCGGCTTAATGATCCTGCCTGAATTATGTATTCATTTCAAAAATTAAGCCATGCATATACAACTTTAATCGATTAACGAGAAACCGCGAACGGCTCATTACAATGGACATGATTTACTTGATCTTGATTATTTAAATGGATAACTGTGTGGTCTTTAAAGTGTTCACTTTATCAACTTGACGGGGGTATAATCGACTCCCGTGGTGGTGACGGATAACGGAGGATAGGGTTCACCTCCGGAGAAGTGGCTTGAGAAATGGCCACTACGATTAAGGATGGCAGCAGGCGCTTAAAGTACCTACCACGATGAGGTAGGGACGAGAAATGAAGAGATCGTTCTCTTTGAGGCCGGTCATCCGAACGGTACAAGTTAAAACCTTTAACGAGTATCAAGCAGAGGGCAAGTCTGGTGCAAGCAGCCGCGGTAATTCCAGCTCTGCTAATACATTGAATGTCTAATGCGGCCAAAAAGCTTGTAGTTGGATTCGTATCGGTACTCTAGAACCCTCCGGTGTTTCTGGGTGTTATCGATTCATCCTTATTGGTCGCAAAGCTGAAACTTAAAGAAATTGACGGAAGGGCACCACCAGGAGTGGAGCTTGAGGCTTTATTTGACTCAAAACGGGGAAACTCACCCGGCCCGGACACTGTGAGGATTGACAGATTGATAGCTCTTTCATGATTCAGTGAATCGTGGTGCTTTAAAGAGCAATAATAATAAAGGGCATAACAGGTCTGTGATACCCTTAGAGGTTCGGTGCAATATTCTGCCCATAAAGGGCGGGTGAGCAATAGAAATTTACCGTGATTGGGATTATAAATTGCAATTATTTTCCGTGAACGAGGAATTCCAAGTAAATGCGAGTCATCATCTCGCATTGAATACGTCCCTGCCCTTTGTACACACCGCCCGTCGCTGCCCGGGACTGAGCCATTTCGAGAAATTGGTGACTGTTGATTTAATTTCTTTAAATTACATTGATGGAAACCAATGTTATCGCAGTGACTTGAACCGGACAAAACTCGTAACAATGTAGCTGTAGGTGAACCTACTGCTGGATCATTACTTTATGTAATGATCAAATTTGAATCGCAACTTTAGTTGTGCAACGGCTGTAACTGGTGTCTAGGTGTTGCTGATTCAGTCGTTTACGTCCGTGACTGAATGTGAGGTGACATGTTAGGACTCTTTTGAGTTTAAGACTTAATGAGCCTCTTAAGTGAGGACGCCAGCCCTTTTTTACTTTTATTTGACCCGAAAGATGGATATCACGGCGATCATTGCCCACTGCAGAAGCCTTTACAAATTCTAATCGTAAAGAGAGGTAATCCTTTTCAAACAAGAAAAAAGCCTCTATTGACAGTTGAACGAGAGAGTTAAGGTAGGACTGCAGGGCAAACTGATTGTATGTCTGGATATAATCAGTGTGAGTGTTTGTAGTTAGCACCTCAAATATTCACAGCCCTGTTAGTCAATGAATATTGCCTGTCTGTCAATAGAGAGCTATTTATATAAATCGTGGATGGTGGTGCATGGAAAGTTGTATTGAGAGAGCTATGGTTCAACGACCATATGACCGTGGACAGCTTGAATATTTGTTTTGGAAATATTCAGGTTTGGGTGCTAGTAGTGGCGTGCTGCTTTTACCCATTGTTCATGGTTATTCGAATGCATGAAAAACAACCATAGCTTTCTCTTTAAAATACGATTAGAATCTAAAAAAAACGGCTTGGGGAACCGTTAAAAGTGCTGCATTGATCGCTTGTGTGCAGACCAAGACTGCTTCAAAGGTGAACACGGACAAAGCAAGGCATTGGAGCTTTGATGCCGTTCAGGATCGTCGGCACTGGCGTTCTCATTGCGCGAACCTCCTCCCGAAATGCCTGCGGATATCAATTGTTTCTGGCTGTGTTTAACTTTGTTGGCCGTCTTGGTTATCCGTCTCAGACTTTGAAAGAATTTGCTCTGGAAGTAGCTGTAGGTGAACCTACTGCTGGATCATTACTTTATGTGATGTTCAAACTTGAATCGCAACAAAATGTTGTGTAACCAAAGCTGGGTTACCCCGGCTGTCTGGAAAATTTTATCCGGTGAATTCGCTAATTGGCGAAAAATTAACACCGGATAGTAGCCTTTCGGCTTTATTTGTGAAGTGAATAGTTGAGATTTAGTGTAGGGACTAAGCGTCCTCGTGAACACGGTCCAACACGGAGCAACTCACTCGGCACGGACGTTGAAATATTATTGATGTAATGGGTGGGTTCGCCATTGAGTGTTGCCGTGGTTGGAATCGAGTAGGTGCGAGTCATCAGCTCGTGTTGATTACGTCCCTGTAATGTAGCTGTAGGATCTGTGTATGATCCTACTGCTGGATCATTGCTCTGTGTATGATCCAACTTGAATCGCAACGTTTGTTGTGTAACGGCTGTACTGGTGTCCAACAGCTGTAACCCATTTATCGAAAGATGGTGATTATCAAATACTGTTTACGTCCCTGTAACAATGTAGCTTTAGGTAATCCTACTGCTGGATCATTACTTTATGTAATGATCAAATTTGAATCGCAACTTTTGTTGTGCAACGGCTGTCTCTGGTGTCTAGGTGTTGCTGATTCAGTCGTTAACGTCCGTGGCTGAATGTGAGGTGACATGTTAGGACTCTTTTGAGTTTAAGACTTAATGAGCCTCTTAAGTGAGGACGCCAGCCCTTTTTTAACTTTTTTTTTGTTTCGAAAGATGGTGAGAATATTACACTTTAGCTGGGTTTAGACCGTCGTGACCAATATGACAAAAGGCAGATAGTTAAGTTGTGCTAAAACTAATCTATCTGAGGGTAGCCCAGACCTGCCTCCTTGCGTCATAATACTAAAACACCCAGTTGAAGTGGATGGTGTGGTGCATGGGTTCAAAAATATAACTCAGCATTCAACGGAAGGCAAATAATCTATTCACGCCAGAGTATTTTATTTGCGGGCAGCCATAACCTGCTTCCTTTCGTTTGAATGTCTGAGTTATTCGCCATCTCGGCATTCAACGGAGGGCAAATAATCTACTCACGCCAGAGGATTTTATTTGTGGGCAGCCATAACCTGCTTCCTTTCGGTTGGATGTCTGAGAGTCTCGGCCATAGGCTTTGGCGATTCGCCGGTGAAGCCCTAAGGGGTGGAGGTAGGCACGCAAGTTCTCATTGATCTACCGCAAACGTCCACGTCGTGCGTGCTGGGAAATCCGGTAATGTGCTCAATAAATGTGCTCACTGGATTTGCTAACTCCGGCTTGTCTGGAGGCGCGGTTAAAAATGAGCCGAACTCGGGCCGAAGGCCCGAGTGATTTGTTCGGGCACGGCCCTAGAGACTCCCTGGTGTTCAGCCTTGGAGTCCTCAGCTCGGTGTTTTTTTTTTCTCAACTCGAGCTAAGTTTTTTCCTCCTTGTCTCAGGACTTGGAGTACAGCTCGGGCCAAAGGCCGGAGTTGAGTTTGTTCGGGCTTCGGCCCTCCAGACTCCATGGTGTTCTGCCTTGGAGTACTCAGCTCGGGCTTCGGCCCGAGCTGAGTTTTTTCTCCTTGTCTCCGGACTTGGAGATAGCTCGGGCCGAAGGCCCGAGTTAAGTTTATTTGGGCCTTTGGCCCTAGAGACTCCATGGTGTTCTGCCTTGGAGTACTCAGCTCGGGCTTTGGCCCAAGCTGAGTTTTTTCTCCTTGTCTCCGGACTTGGAGATAGCTCGGGCCGAAGGCCCGAGCGAGTTGAGTTTGTTCGGGCTTCGGCCCTCCAGACTCCATGGTGTTCTGCCTTGGAGTCTCAGCTCGGGCTTCGGCCCGAGCTGCTCGGGCCGAAGGCCCCAGCTCGGGCCGAAGGCCCGAGTTGAGTTTGGTCGGGCTTTGGCCCTAGAGACTCCTCGGTGTTCTGCCTTGGAGTCTCAGCTCGGGCTTCGGCTCGAGCTAAGTTTTTTCCTCCTTGTCTCAGGACTTGGAGTACAGCTCGGGCCAAAGGCCGGAGTTGAGTTTGTTCGGGCTTCGGCCCTCCAGACTCCATGGTGTTCTGCCTTGGAGTACTCAGCTCGGGCTTCGGCCCGAGCTGAGTTTTTTCTCCTTGTCTCCGGACTTGGAGATAGCTCGGGCCGAAGGCCCGAGTTAAGTTTATTTGGGCCTTTGGCCCTAGAGACTCCATGGTGTTCTGCCTTGGAGTACTCAGCTCGGGCTTTGGCCCGAGCTGAGTTTTTTCTCCTTGTCTCCGGACTTGGAGATAGCTCGGGCCGAAGGCCCGAGCGAGTTGAGTTTGTTCGGGCTTCGGCCCTCCAGACTCCATGGTGTTCTGCCTTGGAGTCTCAGCTCGGGCTTCGGCTCGAGCTGAGTTTTTTCCTCCTTGTCTCAGGACTTGGAGATAGCTCGGGCCGAAGGCCCGAGTTAAGTTTATTTGGGCCTTTGGCCCTAAAGACTCCATGGTGTTAAGCCTTGGAGTGCTCAGCTCGGGCTTCGGCTCGAGCTGAGTTTTTTCCTCCTCGTCTCCGGACTTGGAGTACAGCTCGGGCCGAATGCCCGAGTTGAGTTTGTTCGGGCTTCGGCCCTCCAGACTCCATGGTGTTCTGCCTTGGAGTACTCAGCTCGGGCTTCGGCTCGAGCTGAGTTTTTTCCTCCTCGTCCCCGGACTTGGAGTATAGCTCGGGCCCAAGGCCCGAGCTATCGCCGGTGAAGCCCTAATGGGTGGAGGTAACCCCCACGAAGGAGGCCTTCGCGATTCGGCGGTGGGTGTTAGTAGGTTACACAGAGGGATAACACAAGTAAACTCGGCGTAACTGAAGCTAATTCCTTCATTACTCCTCGGCTTTCAGCCTTGGTCTAGATATGAGTGCTGGCTGTAGATGAAGTTGCGCGAGAGGTGAAACTCGTGAACCGTGGCTATTTACAGTTGGTCAAGGGGCATAATGCCATCTAGAATAAAATCAAAACGAAAAAACGATAAAAACCGTTATCGTGCTCTAATCCCAAACAGTCCTCTTCAGGACTCTGACCAGTCTGTCCAACCAGAGCAGGCTGTTCCGAATATTGATCTGGGAACCCAAAACTGTCCTCTTCAGGACAATGATCAGTCTGTGCAGCAGGAGCAGTCTGAACATTATACACATCCGCACATCCAATACAATTCTATGGATGTTGAACCTATCAATGATAGCCCTGGGAAGCCTTCGAGCTCGGGCATATTTACTTTTAGTACACACGATATCGACGAAAACGCCAATATTGAAAGTAATGTTGAAAGTCTTGTGGAACCGCTCACTCCATTGAGCATCTCCTCGGAGGTTTGTGTTCCAAGAAAAATGGCCAAAACACGTGAATCTTCTGTTGAGTCAGATTTATCTGATTATTCTATGGGTCTTTCCTCTCGTGCTTCATCTGTTGAAAGTTTTTCCTCTATTAAGAGTAAGGGTGGTAGACCTAAGAAAAAGCCTCGAGGAAAAACAGGAAGACCCAGAAAGTCAACAACTACTTTACAAAATAATGATTCATCAATTGAAAGTAATGTACCAGATATAACGACTAATGAAGCGAATATTAATTTTTCAACTCTGAACACTCTTGACTTTGCTGTAGCCAAGACTAATGATAGAACTTCCATTTGCCGCAGAGCAGTTATGCCTCTTTATGAAAGAGATGATGATAATACGGGCCCTCGCGCCATTGAAGTACTATGGAATAAACTCTCTGAATGGCCAAATGAAAGTTTCATTTTCGCATATTTATGCTATCTAGCCAAAGTTTCTGGCAAAAAGGTGATTGTAGTAGATCCGCTTGTAACGGATCCACTTCATTTTCAATTAGAGGATATTAATTACGCCAATTACGCCTATCAAACTGGTCCAGACAGAGACGTACAAATTGTACTTCTTCCTGTTCACCTACACATCCGCACATCCAATACAATTCTATGGATGTTGAACACTGGACTATCATAATCTTTGACAGTGAGTTCGGAACTTATTTTTTCGACTCACTGCCAGACGATCCTCATAGACTATCTGATAATCACCCTGACTATCATCCTGATAGAATGCCGAAACTTATGGAGATTCTTTC